TGTGCTTGTGTGTGTGTGTGCACATGTGTGTGCATGGGGGGATTCATGTAGGGCAGGAGTATACAAAGATAAGTAAGGCACTGGGCCTGTCCTCAGAAAGTTCATAGTCCTTAAAAATATTCAATGGCTCATGACCCACATATTTCTAAAAAGCATGCACAGTTTAGGAAGGTTAGAACTAACATATTTTGAAGATAAAATCCCATGGGCTTCCATTCAGCATGTGGGAGAATCGGGGCATTTCTGTACCTTTCCAAAAGCTGCCTGTTTTATCCTCCGTGAAAATCTCCTTCACCTTCAATTGTCTGTCCTTTCCTTTATCAATCTCTTGAAAGAATATGCTCTATTATAAATGAACAAGTAACAAGGCAAGCACTATGAAAATGATGAACTAGAGTTTGGGGAGATCGTTTTCCTAGGGCTTGACCCCCGTGAGTGGGCAGAGGAGCGGAGCTCTGCCATCGATCACCACCTGCCCGTCACTGAGAGTGAGCCAGGAAGGAAGCTGGACCACAACATGAATACAAATGGGAAGGGCTTTGGGATATGGCCTTGCTTCATCAAAATTGAAGTGGCCTTTATGGGTTTCGATGCAAAGAGCCTCTTGGCTTCTGGATTTTCACCCTTGCTATCACCTGTGACTCTTAACTGGTTTTCCCCTTTCCTGTAACATACATCACACAAAGGATGATGGCAGAAAACAACTTCACGAGGAACCTCCAAAGCTCTCTGTGCATTTCTGGAACAGCAACCACTTTTGCAACTGAAAGGCCATCAGCAAAAACCTGACAGTAGGTCCTCAATTTCAAATCCAAGCTCTGAAAATGACTACCTCTGGGACGCCTGGCAAGTCATTTAATGATTCTGGCCAAGCCCGGAAAATTAGGGTGATTAGACTTAAAGTTCATCAAGCGCAGCGCTTCATTTCCCATTGCCGTGCTTTTGCACTGGTTGTCCCGCAGTTTCCCTTCTTGGTATCCCTGCTCTCTTCCATCAGGACTCAGTTTGACTCCTACCTTCTCCAGGAGACCTTTCTTGAACCCCAGTCCCAGTTACTAGTGCTCCCTCGAGAGCACTTCCTGTTCTGTATCTATCTAGTATATTCCTAGTACCTTATGCAATCTGCCTTATTAAAATGTAAGCTCCTGGAGGGCAGGGACTGTTTGGCTTTTCTTTGTATTCACAGTACTTAGCACAGCATCTAGCTCAGAGGAAGTTCTTCATGAGTGCCTCTTGACTGATTCAGCTTCCTTTCCTATGGAATGAAAGTTAGGCTTGGGATCCGAAGTCTCTTGCAGTTCTCAGATTCTGTGATCCATCACAGGAGAAGCCCCTGCATTTCGGGGTGGAACGGTGCCAGAGCCAAGGTTTTCTTTATCCCTTGGTAACATGCCCAGGGACCAGCAGTGAGGAAAGCAGTCCCTACTTGTGTGGAGCTGGGGACAGGAAGGACAATGACAACACAGATAGGAAAGACTATGACACATGTTGGTCAACACGCTACCTCAAATTCCAGGCCCAATTAAGCTTTTTGTCTGAAGAGGATATAGATCACCCTGGAAGAGGCCTCAAAAATCATATAGTCCAATGCCTTCAGGTTACAGCTGAAGAAACTGAGGCCTAGAGAACTGAGATGACCTGCCCATGTTCACAGATGATGATAATCAAACTCAACCTAGAAGGAAACTTATAGGTCATCTAGTTGAATATGTTATATGTGGGGAAACTGAGGCCCAGATAAGAAAATCAATTTGCCTTAATAACAGCTCTCATGGTGCAGCTAGATGGCTCAGTAGATATAATACCAACCCTGGAGTTAGGAAAACCTGAGTTCAAATCCAGCCTCAGACACTTGACACTACTAGCTGTGTGAGCCTGGACAAGTCACTTAACTCCAATTGCCTCAGAAAAAAAATTAATATTAATACTAAGTCTCATTCATTTGATGCTGTAAGGTGGAACATGGGCAACATTCCTTACTGGGCCTGAAACACATTCAAAGGGAATTGGGGAACAGTTAACAAAATCAATCAAATACAAGAGGCCAAAGATAATGTTAATACGTGGTTTTCAAAGTCAGTCTGCAGATGGCAGTGCGCTTTAATGGCCCCATTTCCCTTTGAGTTTGATATTACTGCTCTAAGGTTTTCCCACTGCTTTCCATGGCTTATTTCACATGAACCTCATCACAGCCCTGGGAAGGAGGTGCTATTACTTTCTGAATTGCAGAGATGAGGTCACTGGAGCTCTGAGAACTCAAGTGACATGCTCAAAGTCACACAGATAACAATGACCTGAGGGAGGATTCAAACCCCAGTTTTCCTGACTACACATCTAGACCCAATCTCTCCTGTCACATTGCCTCTCATGGGGTAAATGGCAAAGCAGTGATTCAAACTCATATCCTCTGATTTCAAATCCAAGCCTCTTCCATACTTCAGTAGGCTCCATTAAACATGTCTTATAAGTAAAAATCCCCCTTACTATCAGGGTTCTTGTTCCTTCCTTTCTGAAATCACAGTCACAACAGCTTACCAAAGCAATCTAGCTAGGACAAATCAGGCCCAGGATTTTTCTTTTTTCCTTCCTACAATTATTGAATCCCACACCAAGGCTAAAATTTCCTTGCTTTCCCAAATGGCCTTCTCCCAAATCATGCCATAATTTCAGCAGCATCTTCCCCAAACTCCATCTTCCTTCCTCTCCTTCAAGCAGACTGCAGTGCTGGACCTAAGCCCCTCTTAGCCCTGTGCTTCCTGTCCAATTGACTGCATGGAATTGTTCATTGTTCAAGTTGATCAAAGCCGGGAGATGGGCTGTCTGGGTGTGACTGGACAGCAGAGCACCATGGAACATCAAGAGGAACCTGGCCATGAAACTGTCATAAAGGAATAGGTGCTCTTGCCAGCAATGCCACCGAGGGGGCTGACAACAGGAAATGTGTGCTGAGTCTACTGCACCGAGAGAGCAGGTGCTTGGTTTTACTTAAGGAAAACATAAATGACTCTGCATAATTGCTCGAAGATTATGTGGGTCTTTCTCTTCCTTTTTACCTCCTTTAGAGGATTTCTACAGCTGGAATGTCAGTACAATTGTAGCCCGAAGTCACGTTCTTACAACTTGTAAGCAAAGTTAAAACTTCCCATTTTAATTAAAATTCAAACAAAGCCAGAATGAAATCTCCTGCCATTACAGACAAGCAGCAGCCCAGGAAAGCCCTGAAGGCCACACCTGCTCGAGAGAGGGAAGCTGGGCAGATTCTCTGACAAATACAGTTGGGTGAGTTGTGCTTGCTGGCATTTTGGGATCATGTTTGGCGAACTCAGCAGTGCTTTCCCAATTCCTGCTGAAAATCAGGAGAGGAGTAGACTTGTTTCACAGGCCACAGTAATCCAGGATGAGAGTGTCTATCCACTTGAATCTTGGGTTCAGAATGCTGTGTCCAAGGTGCTTTGGATCCAAAGAGTCAATGAATGATCACTGCATTTTATGCTGGGGCTGGGCAGGCCCTGACTCTGTTGCAAACAACAGAGGCCACCCTGGTCTCTTCTAATCAATCCTCTGCTATTTTTCTCCCTCCAGTTCTTCAAGGACTCATGATTTCACTGGGGCAGGGATCCCTTCTACTAATGCAGATCATAGTATGGGGACAACAGCATGGACAAAAGGAAGAAAGCTATATTTGGAGTTGGGGGATCTGGATTCAAATCCTGAATGCTACTTCTGCCTTGTGTGATTCTCAGCAGGTCACTTCCCCATCCATGAACCTTGGATTTCTCAAGTGCAAAGTTGGCTTGCTGAGAAGATACTATTAGGCCCACTGAAATGAAACCAAGGCTAGAGAAGCTAGCCTTACCAAGCAAATATGTGACAGAAGCTAGGCTTGAAGTGAAGCCTCAGCCTCCCATTCAACATGCTCTAGAACCTTCTTGTACCCAAAAGGATGGTGTCAAATAAGAAGGTACAGAGGAAAAGGAAGGATAATTAAGGAAAGGATGTACAATGAGGAATAAGTGGAAAAGTCAGAGGTGGTATTGGAAAGCCTTCATCGTCACTGAGGAGAAATTTCTCTGTCATCATTTTTAATACCATCAGGTTCAGGAGGAGGGAAAAAAGGGTGGGGAATCTGGCATGTAGAGGGAAAGTTGCAGGCACTTGGAAAGCTGTGGGGACATGAATGAAGCCCAAGTTGTGACCAGGTTTTGTCTACAGGGTGTCATGGAGAGATTTCTGGATTTTGCCTTATTAAAACCTATGTTGGATTCTTACTTCTAATACTAACTGAGTGACTCTGTACAAGTCACATTACCTCATCTGTAAAATGGGGATAATATAACCGCATCTGCCTCCCAAGACTATTGTGGGAAATACGAGATGATAGATGAAAAAATGCCTTGTAAATTTTCAAGCAGTCTAGAACTGCTAGCTAGAGGGTATTAAGATTACAGCATTAACATTTCTGTGGCATAATAAAGAAGATGAGGGATTGTGCCTATAATGTCACTTTCAGCTCTATGTCTATAAACCTATGATCTCACGGCCCTAAGATGTGATTTAATGAACCCATGTAGCCAAACACATCCACTGCCTGGTGGTCAGCTTCCAGGTGACACGTCTTTGTTCCTGGAGGAGAATGTTAGTGAAGCTCTGGGTTTCCCCCTGGACTTCTGTTGGGCAGAGCCTCCCTAGATGAGTAGGACCTGTTAGAACCTGTGGCCTTCTGCCATTAGATTCCCAATTGAGTCGAAGCTCCCCAAGGATAGGGATTATGTCATTTTGGGGGTATCCATCTCCCTAGGTCCTAGCACACAGTAGGGACTTTATAAATGTCTGTTGATTGATGGCTTCCAAGAATCCAAGGCCACCTCAAGCCATGGTCAGATAGTGGAACAGGAAGCTGTTGGAGCAACAATCAAATGAGGAGGGGGAGAAAGAGAACAACTTGGAAGTGTTGGCACTGCTAGGCTCCAAGTCTAATTTTCCAATGTTCGGTTACTCACCTGGATATTGTCTAAAGAATCCCTTTGCACTTCCAAAATACTGCCATATCAGAGAAGGATCCCGGTCAAAATTATCTACAAATACTTTGTTTAAGGACTCAGACCAGTACACGCCATTGACGATTGCAGGATCTGAAAGAATGAAAAAGAGAGGAGACAAGAAGGAAGAGGCATGGTTATATATCACCTTGGGCCAAGTGGTTCTTTTCCCTTAGGATGTTAACTTGTGAGGAGAGTTGAGAAGGAAAATGATGATTGACAAGAGTCTCTGGCAGTTTCAAGGAGCACAGCTTCCTGGTGTCCCATCCTACAATCTAGTCAGGAGATCATGACAGTTTCTGTTTTGAAAGTCCCACTTTTGCAAATGAATATTTATGACATCAAAAAATCATAGATCGACCAAATTATTCCAGTGTGGATGGATGGATGGATGTCTGCCATATGCAGACTAATCATAGAGAAAATACATTGGGTGGTTTCAACTGTCTAAGTGACACTTCGAATATCTTGCAATAATATCATGTAAAATGACATTGCCTTGTATTCAGAAGATTACTAGAAATAATCATGAAATAGAATGGATTTGAAACCACATCCTCTAACTATAAAGAAAGGAGCTCACAAGGTCAACTCTGACTTGATCAGATTATCTGAAGGTAGAAGTTCTAGTCTTGTCTCTGACAAATACTCTGTTGTGATCTGGGACAAGTGAATTACCATCTCAATTGAGTGTTTGCAAACAAGGAGGGAGATGCAGAGTTGAGCTATAGTTCCTAGAGGATATATAGCTATAGACATAGATCCTATGGAAAATTAAAAATAATTCCTAAAGTCCTAAATGCCTAAATTTGGATCATATCTCTCTTTTGAAGCTTTAGCAGCTCACTATTTCTTCTAGAATAATATGAACTCTTTATTTTGGCATTTAAAATCCTTCAGAATCTGGCTACTTGCCCTGCAGGCTTTTTTCATATTATGATCATTCATGCATTCATTATATGTGCCAGCCACTCTGGTATAGTTGCTCTTTTCTGAACTTGGTATTCCATCTCCTGATTCTGTGTCTTTACATGGGTAGTCCCCTACTCCAAGAGTGCACCCCTTCCTCACCACTGCCCCTTACAAACTGGAACTCAGATGAGAGGCCAAGACTTATGGGGACACTTTCTTCATCACCTTGATTGTAACTCTCTCCACAAATTAGTGGGTATAAGACACTGGAGCTAGGGGAAGCTAGGTGGTGCAATGGATAGAATACCAGCTCTGGAGTCAGGAGGACCTGAGTTCAAATCTGGCCTCAAACACATAACACTCCCTAGCTATGTGACTCCAGGCAAGTCACTTAACCCCAATTGCCTCACCAAAAGAAAAAACAAAAGATAATGGAGCCAAAGTGTTTTTCAACTCATACACTGCTATATGAGTGTTAACTGATGTTATTGTAAATTTTCTTTATTGGGATAGGAAGTAGACCTGTGATTTTATTGGTACAGGGAACTCCAGAGTGAGGAAACTCTATAACGTAGGCTGCAATGATTTGTTCCAGGACATGCAGCCAACACATGAGGCAAAACTAAAACCCAAGTTTTCCTGACTTCAAAGCCAATTCCCTATGCATGATGCAAAGCTACCTCTTATTTTTCATACTATTATTGCTATTGTTATCATCACTGCTACTGCTGCTGCTTCTATTACTACAACTGATATCATCATTATTCTTGTATCTACTATTAATACGACTAGTACTATTATTAATAATAATACCACAACTACTGCTACAACTCCTCCTTTTCTTCTGCTCTTCCTCTTTCTCCTCCTCTATGTTTGCATTCTATATTTTCCCAACAGAATGTCTTGTCCTTAGTTTTCTCTTTGTATCTCTAGCACCAAGGTCAGCACCTGGCAAAACCAGGGTGTGAAGCACCAAGCAAATTGTTGTTGTCAATTGACGGGCCTGGTCCTACTAGTGTTAACAAAGTTGTCTTGTATTGGTCCAGGTTGGGTTGTACCAGATTAAAAAGGACGTCACCTCCACCTCCTCTTCCAGTGAAAAGATTCAGGAGTTTGGGGGCCAAAAGCAGAATCAAGGCAGGCGTGAGATGTCAGATACACTAGCTCCCCCCCCCATTAATTCTTTGAAGAGAAGAAGGATAGTGTTAGCAGCCAGCCTGAAAGTCAGGGAGACCTGAGTTTAAGTCTGGTCACTGACACATACTGTCTCTGTGACCCTTGGACATGTGACTTACTATCTAAATGCCCAGATAACTAAGTGTATAAATTGAAGGAAATGTACTGATTTTCACTGGAAGAAGAATTTCCTCACCAGAAACTTCCTACACTGATAAAATCACAGGACTGGAAAAAAATCTTATGGAGAAATTCTCTGTCCAAGATATTTAGAGCCAGCTGGGTGGTGCAGTGGATAGAGCACCGGACCTAGAGCCAGGGAGACTCCTCTTCTTGAGTTTAAATCCAGCTTCATACACTTACTAGCTGTGTAACTCTGGGAAAAGTCACTTAATCCTGTTTGCCTCAGTTCCTCATCTGTAAAAGTGGATGGAGAAGAAAATAACAAATGCCTCCAGTATGCTTGCCAAGAAAATCTCAAATGAGGTCATGAAGAGTCAGACACAACCGAAATGACTGAACAGTAACAACAGTAGCAGCAGCAGCAATGGTGCAATGGATAAGAACACTGCACCTGGAGCCAAGGAGACCTGAGTTCAAGGCCAGCCTGGTATAACCTCCATTTGTCTCATTTTCTTCATCTGTAAAACAGGGATAACAACCACACTTACTTCACTGTGATTTTTGTGTAGATCTAATGAGATAATATTTATAAAAAGTAACTGTCACAGTGCCTGGCACATAGTAAATACTATGGAAATGCTTATTCCCTTCTCCTCTCCCTATTTTATATCTACCTGTGGTCTACTGGAAACATGATGGTGGTCAGTATATTCCTTATAACAAAATACCAGTATAACGAAATCACGTTCAATTACTCTGTTAAGTAACTACCTTTGCCATTAGTGGTTACTATGTTGTCAAGAAAGGGATCCTGGGTTTTCCTTACCACATTTGACACAGTTTACCAGTTTATCCATACAATTTATCCATAATCAGCCATCTAGATAGAGTAGTAGACAGAGCACTAGTCTTAGAGTCAAGAAGACCTGAGTTCAAATCCAATCTCATAGACTTACCGACTGTATATTGTTGTCATTAAGATGTCTCAGTCATGTCTAATTCTTTGTGACCCCATTTGAGGTTTTCTGGGCAAAGATACTAGAGTGGTTTGCCATTTCCTTCTCCAGTTCATTCTACAGATGATGAAACTGACCCAAAACAAGGTTAAGTGACTTGCAGAGGGTCACATAGCTAGTAACTGTCTGAGTCCAAATTTGAACTCAGGAAGATGAGTCTTCCTGACTCCAGGCCTGGAACTCTATGCACTGTGCTACCTAGCTACCAACTCTATGACCCTGAGCAAGTCATTTAATCCCTGTCAGTATCAGCTTCCTCACCTGTAAAATGGGGATAATAGTCACATCTATCTCACTAGGTTTTGTGAAGATCAAAGGAGATAATATATGTAAAGTGTTTTTTATTAGTATAATGAATTGCTATTATGCTAAATCAGGCATGCAATGAACTTGAGATTACAATAATGATAGGCATTGACATTAGACTTCCAACAAGCTGGGCTGCCAGCAACACTCTGAAGGCACCATTCATGGGGAGTGGAGCTGCCCAATTTTCACTTCTTGTCTTTCAGTGACAACACGCTTATTCATCCTAATTAGAAGATATATAAATAATGAATAGTTCTTAGTGATAATTAATTCAGTGCTTGTAGTACTAAAGATAGAGCCCATAAATACATATAAAGTGCCAAAATAAGATATCTCGCCAAATATTTCCATTTCATAATGCTTGTTTACTCACTATTTGATAAATGTGATGTGTGTGTGAGTGGGGGTGGGTGTGTGGGTGTTTCCAAAGCCTGGCATCTTTCTCTGGCAATGCTGAGATGGCAGGGATGAATGGCATGAATGACTTGTTGTCTAATGTCCTTTCAGGGAGTAGGAAAGTGAATGAGGGAAATTGATCAATGTGTGATGGTGAATGTGGCCTTGGCCCAAGCAACTGTAGAAGATTTAGAGTTGAGACTGGATGATAAACCCTTCCAAGTCAACCTTGATTACAAGTCTGTTTCAAGGGCAAACCCATCCAGAGTCATATCACACACACACACACACACACACACACACACACACACACACACACACACATACACACACACACCACATCTCCAGCCCTTGAAACTGAAAGGACATAGGTCATCAAACCCAAACTGAACTCAACCAATCTCACTTGCTGGCAAATGACCCAATAATCTCTTTCATGTTCATGAAGTGCTGACATACTTAATGTCACCAGAGGCTCAACATAACCTAAGAGGGCAGGGATAAAGACATTGCCTTCTCCATTTTACACATGAGAAAAGTGATGCCCCTGAGTGTCTATGGTCACACAGAGAGGAACTGTCAGAATTCAGCTCGTAGGGGACAGGTATTATTTCACATTTCTCTCTGTCTTCCCAGAACCTAGAACAGTGTCTGGCACCCAATAGATACTTAATAAATGTTTGTTGACTGATTGAGGTCCAACTCCATGGGAAAGATGATCCATCCTGGTAGGAGAGCTAATAATTAAACAATCATTCAAGGGTATTCATTAAGCATTTACTATGTCCCAGGCACTATTCTAAGAGCTAAGGCTACAAAGAAAGGCAAATATATTGTGTCTATATAGAAGGAGCTCACAATCTAATAGGAGGGATAACATGGAAATAGCTATATGAGCACAAGATCTCTACAGTGTAAAAGGAGGCAGCCTCAGAGGGAAGGCTAGTGGTGGGCTGGTGATTGAGAAAGGTGTCCTGAAGGAGGTGGGATTTGGATGGAATATTGAAGGAAACCAAGAGGCAGATGTGAGAAAGGAGAATATCTTAGGTCTAGGGGACAATATGGGGGACTCCCTCCATGAAGCAGGGAGATTGACAATTCAGGAAGCTGGCAAGCTTCTTAGAATACCTCCTCCTATCATCATAAACTATTCTAGATTCC